GCACTTCTCAGGGACCACACAAAGGGGATCTCACTAACTAACTCCCCGAGGCTCTCTGTGGGACAGGCTATCAAGACCCCGATGGGGAGGCTGAGGCTCAGAGGCACTGAGTCCCATGCTCGGGTAGAATTGGAAGCCTGCAGCTTGACCCAAGCCCACCCACTTCCCCACTCCACCACCCAGGGGTGTACCACAAGTAACAAGAGCTGCATGCGTCCTTTGGGGTTCACTCTGGCAAATACCCCAGGGACACTTGGCCAAGGAGAGAACCACAGGTGTTTCGATTCCCACAATGGAAAATTTGCCCTGGAGTTGCTCAGACCTTGTCCCTATGTCTCTCATGCCCTGGAAACCCCAAACCGCCCAGCACTAAGCAGCCCATTGATGGGCCACACCCTGCTCAAACCTCAGTCCCTCCCCATTTGCCCTGATTCTTTTTGCACCAGAAGAGGCATCCTGGGCAGCTGTTGGGTATAAGGGCAACGAGAAGCAAAAGCTGCATATACCTAGCATCTCCCTGCAAAGCCCTGTGTGTTGGGCAGTGTTCAGACCCTGTGTTCTGAGTCCCTGAACGAGGCATCTAGACCGTGGCCTGAAGTCCAATGCGGATGGGCCACCTCTAAACTTCACAGTCAAATGCCAGCCCCAGAGACTGTCGCCAAGGTTATTTCTGATTTCCAGGCTTTAAATACCTCTGCTCATACCTGCTGCCGTTATCAACCTGACATCTTCTGCCCATGAGTCATTCATTAGCATTTCTGCAGCGATGCTTGCAGCCCAGAGACCCAGAGACATCTGAGTCTTAGATAAAATACATCCCTACCCCTATAAGGAAGCTCCCAAGCCTCCAGTTTCCTACAGGGAGAATGCCCGGTGCAGGCCAGCCCCAGCAGAGAGGCCGAGGCACACCACCTGATTCCAGGGTGCCTGCATCCGAGGAACAGGCAGGAGTATTACGGGCTGAACCTACCACGCTAAAATTTCCATGTTGAAGCCCTCAGAATGTGACTGGTTTGGGGAGCTGTAATCTTTAAGAGGTAATCAAAGTAGAGTGAATTCATATGGGGGGACCCTAGGCCAATCTGCCTGGGGTCCTAAGGACTCAAGTGCAGAGCAAGGAGCACACTTTAGGACACAGGAGATGCTGCCGCCCACAAGCCAAGGACAGAGGCCTTGGAGGAAACCAAACTGCTGACATCTCCACACTGCGAGTGTCCAAAACCACGAAACAGTAAATTCCTGATGATGGAGCCCCCGCCTGTAGTCTAGAGCTCAAGCTGACTAAGGCCAAGAGCACATAATAGCTCAGACAGCAACCTGGGGCAGGGCGGGCACCCCTCGGAAGCTGGCTTTGTCCTCAGAAGCTCATGCCCACGTCACTAACAACTCTGTTGAGGGCCTTTTGCCAACTCTTTAAATCCTCCAGCATTTATATCAGCCAAGAACCGGGGATGGTGATGGTGGCCTCAAGCACAGTCAGCTGCGCTGGGCAACATGAGACTCAAATCATTGGTGGGAGACAAGGCTGCCCACCTCAGAGAGCCAGGGCCCAGTAACGCAGCTAGCTTGACTAGGCCCATCAAGGTTGAGACCCTGCCTATTTAGTCACCCAGGTAGGTGGTACAAAGATGAAGTGATCCAGGGCCACCAGGTGACCAGATGGTTCCTCCCAGTCCACAGCCACCACACAGGAAACTACCGGTGGGGGGGGGCCGGAAGTGTAATCTAGATACCAAAGCAGCAAAGGAGACTAAGTAATTAGCCCTATCAGCACTCAGGAGGGGGGGGGGGAGGGGAGCTCAGTAAAGGCTTCAAAGAGATGGGATTGTGGGCAAGACTTTCAAGACAGAACTGGAGCTCAGAGCAAACAAGAGTGTGGAGAAGGCATTCTGCACAGCAGAGCTCAGGCAGAAAGGCAGGGAGGCTTGGAAAGAATGCCCAGGGGTTCTCAAACTAGAAGCAATGTGATACTGTGGGGAAGGCAAGAAATGGGACCGGTTGGGCAAGAAGATAAAGGCATATGCAGGGCCCCCAGGCTGACCAAGGAGCTTAGCTTGCATCCTCCAGGGGATGGGAAGGTCCAGGAACTTTAAGCTGGGGAAATAACTAGGTCAGATTTGTGTTTCAGACAGACTGCTGACGGCAAGCACAGGGAACTTGGGTGGAAGGCAAATGCCAAACCTAAGCACGAAGCCAAAGCCAAGGCCTCACGGAAAGCAGAGGGGGCTCCTCCAAAGCGTCTTCTTTCCTCAGAGACCCCCTGACAATTCTCCCAGCCAGGCCTGGTGGAGAACATCCATTAGTTCTTCAAGATTTTAGCAAAGGACCTGGTAAGGGGGCAAGGGAGGAGAGTGAGGTGCAGAAAGCACAATTTCCCTGGACCTTCTACACTTTTTTTTTTAAGATTTATTTTATTTATTTATTTTTTTAACTTATTTTTTTCTTTTTTTTTTTTTTTAAGATTTTTATTTATTTATTTATATAAGCACTGGGTACAGTCAGAAGCGCGGGAGGGTGAGAGAATTCACCAGAGCCAGAGCGGGGAGCAGAGCAGGCAGAAGGACCGAAGTACACTGCTGAGGGGAGCAGCGGGCGGCAGGAGAGGTCTGCGCGCCATGTGGGACCCTCCTCCGGTGGCCGGGGAGCAGCTGGGGATTGAACCAGCGCTGTGGAGGCTGCGGGCAGCTTCGCAACCCAGCGCTCAAATGCTGCGCCACCGGGGAGGCCCCCTTATTTTATTTTTATGCGTACAAGAGGTGGGGTACAGGCCAGAGGTGTGGGGGGGGGTGAGAGGAGTCACCAGAGACAGAGAGGGGAGCAGAACAGGCAGACTGACTGAAATACACTGCTGAGGGGAGCAGTGGGCGACTCAGGAGAGGTCTGCTGTGCCATGTGGGTTACTCCCTGGCCGGGGATCGAACTCAGGCTGCAGTGGCTGCAGATTGCTTCATAGGTTGCGTCTTAACCCCTCGAGCCACCAGGGAGGCTCCAACCTTCTACACTTTTACATTTCATTTCTCTTAAGCAACAAATCGAAATAGCCACCAACTTCATCCAGAGAAGAACAGTGGCATCAGCAGCCTAGCCAAGATTATTTACGTTGTCTCTCTGGCCTATTTCCTACTCATTAACATCTGATTTAACATAGAACTAGGGTGCTCTTCCCATTTTGATCCCACAAGAGCAAACACCCACCATCAGCTCTGCTTTGGAAGATGTGAAAGTGGTACCCGTGACAATGCCCAGGATTCTAAACTAGAATCTTGAGCCTGGCTCTTTCCAGAATGATCCATGCCTTAGTATGTCAAGCACCCTCCTCCCAGTCCATTCCCTTGCTGGACAGAGATGGAATGGAATGGCTTCCCTCTCCAGGGGGTATCTAATCTATTCGGAACCCAAGACCTTGTCACATTTAATGACATTTCTATCCCCAAAGCACCTTACATCGGGGCATGAGTAGGAAGGTCAGCAAGGCAGTGCTGCTTACCAGCTGTGTGACTTTAGACAAGTCACTTAACCTCTCTGAGGCTGATAAGTATGGACAATAATAATAACTCTCTCTTGAGGTTGTATCATGAGATAATACACATCAAAATCAGCACTCACATTTATGAAGGGCTTGTGAAGAAAAGAGGAGGAGGACAGAAGCAGGGGCGATGAAGAGGGAAAGAACTTTGGATTCAGACAGTCCTGGGTTCAAGTCTGCTCAACCGTTGGCTTGGCTGTATGAGCTCAGCCAAGTTACTGAACCTCTATGACCCAAGGCTTATTTCTCAGCAAAGCAGGGATAATCCTTTTGCCAACTTTGCAAAAGGATCTCACTGAAAACAGCAGGACAGAGCCCAAACACTTGGCATGCCAACAGTGGGCACAGAAGAAGTGCCACTGCTTTCTGACTCCGAACAGAGCTTAGCAGGAAATCTGGCCTACAATTTAACCCTCTTGGAACACCCAGCATTGCCACCCTACATGGGGGTGAACATGTAAAAAAAGGAGAAAAGGTGAAGCCAGTTTGTAGGGAACCAGGCCCCCCACTGCAGCCCCATCTACAGGAGACTCTTCTCCTTCATCGCTTCCAGGGGAGTCTGCCTTGCTCCCCACTAAACAACTGTGTCCTCTCTGGACAAAGGCGACGGGAGAGCCAGACTCCACTTTCCTGGACCCACATCTTCTCCTGTTACCTGAACAAGAGCAAAATCTCTGCCTGGCTGAGGCACGCTGGCTGGCGCGCGGAGCATGACTTGCTAGGGAGACCCTAGAGCACCATGTCTCAGGAACCCCCATAAAAGGCAGGTTATTTTGAGCCTCTCCTGAGCCCAAGGCCTGAGCAAATGAAGCAAATGGCTTCGGGACAAGGACCAGAAAGGTTTTTAAGGCTTTTCATTCTGCCAGAAACACACTTAAAATTTAAAAAATTTAAAGCTCGCCACCTCTCTTGGGTTCCCGCTGTGCTAGGCTTTGGTTTAGAGGAAGACAAACAAAACCTCAAACCCTCAAATCAATGGTTCATGGTAAACGCCAGCCCCCGCCCGCTGTCCTGTGGGTGCTGGGACTGAGCTTGTGAGGGAGAAGCAGTCAACGCAGCTCTCCTGCCAGAGGCTCGGACTGGAACACTCTCAGAGGCCCAAGGCCGGCATTAAAATCGCTTTCTTTTCTCTTCACATGGAGCAGGCCAGGGAAGTTAGCCAAGGAGCAGGTTTGCCTGAGGTACCCACCGAGCATCCACAACAAAGCCAGGGTGCCTCGGGTACAAGAGAGCCAAGGTGCTGAGGGAAGCGAGGGCCCCAAGAAGGCAGGCCAGTCCCTGGAAGCATCCAGAAATTGTGGGTACAAGATTAGAACCTCAAGGCTCACAGTAGTTTCTGTATCAGAACTTGGAGTTCAGGTGTGGGATCGGGCATTAGGATAGATGCCTCTACTCTCAGACCACCAAGGTCTCAAATCTCACCCCGAAAGAGAAAAGTTGAACTGCCCCCACCCCAGCTCATACCACCACTTACTTCTGCTCGGCAGCTCCTCTTGGCCCAGGCTGTTGGAGGGAGCCAGAGGGGCAATGCCACCCTCGTCCAAGGTCAGGATGAGGGGAACGTCGTCATCTAAGCTCACAGCCATGCTCTCCTCTCCTGCAGCCCTCAGGATGTGATGTCCAGGGCTTTAAATAAGCTCTGGCTTGGGCTCCCTTTCAAAGCCACTGACCCACGGGTGCTTCTCAGGAACTCCGCCATTAGAGGCATCTTCTAGGGCTTAGAGGATAAAAAAAGAAAGACAATTATTCAAATTCAACCCCTACCAATGAAAATGTTCTGGAATTAGCAGTGACCTTTGTGAATATGCTAAAAACCAACCACTGAATTGCACACTTTAAAATGGTGGATTTTATGGTATGTGGAATATATCTCAATAGGAAAAGAAGCATATTATAGTAAAATAGCCCTAAAAAATGGGGAGATTCACTATGCCTGGAGACTGAGATATGATTAATAGCTTTTGCTCCCCGCCCTCCTTTATACTTGTTTGTGTTGTGATTTTGTTAAAGATTTTAGGGACTTGAGGTAAAATACCACCTTACAGATAACAGAGGTTAATACTCAGTGGGTACTTAAGACATAACCAGGGGCTCTTCTAGCAATTTTAAAAGCTGACTGCAACTTCGTGATAGGTAAGATTATTAAGCCCTGTGTAACATTTATTATGTTACAAAGAGAGACTTTCTAGGTTCAGAGAGGTTAAGTAACTTGCCCAAGAACCCACCACTCTAAACTCTGCCCTTTGCCTGCAGACCCGTTCCAGGCCACTACAATCCCTCCACGTCGCATCCTTGGCATTTAGACTCCAAATGCGTGTAAAGAGTTAGTGTGCCGGGTTATTCATACCTGCCCACACCCCTCTTTTATAGATGTTGTTCTCCCAGATTTAGGTGTTTGAGGAGGAAGGCGAAAAGAACACAAGTTATTTTTTAAACAACTTCCACAGTCGCATAGCAGAAGTGCTCATTCTGACCTCCCAATCCCAAACCCTCAGGACTCGCCTGTTACAGTTCCTATTTATACACATTCCCATTTCCGCTGCAGAGGACCAGAAGAAAAGCAAAGACTCAGCAGATCTGAAGGCAGACCTTTGAACTTGGAAACAGCAACAGGACCTTCCCTAAACTATGGCCTTCTGGGCTCAACTTTGCCTCCAAACTAACCCAGTGAATGGCAACCTGGCACCGGGACAATTTCCTTCTTGACAGGTTCCCGTGTGGCAGTACCTTCTGAAAACAGCAGCAAGAGTGAGTCCCACTCTGCTTGCTGTTGTGCCTGTAGCTCTCTGCTGGGCAAACTTCCTGTAAGAATTTTTTTTGACATTTCCTCCAGTTCTGGGGATTTCTTTTGCTTTGCAAATATCAGTAGTGGGGAGACAGAGGAGGAAATCCCAAATGAGATGCTATCATCAGGCTGTCTTAAGAATTATGTGCTTTTTCTTTTCTGTTTAACATTTTATCACAGATATTTTCCAACACAACTCAAAAGTAAAGAGAACGTGTAAATGAAATTCCTTGCATTCCACCACTCAGCATTGACAATTATCAACAACTTGCCATTCTCTTGAAGAGTTATTTTGAAGGAGGGGGGCTCTATTAACCCTTCCAAATCATTAAGAAAATTTTTTAATTTTATGTTATAAAGGGGAGTGGTTTTTGTTTTTTGTTTAACTGTTTCATATATAACTCTGCTTGCATGCATTGTCTTAGCTTTGTGGCTTTCAACTGGGGTGATTTCGCCCCCCAGGGGAATGAAGATATTTTGATGGTCACACCTGGGGGGAGGTGTGCTAAGTAGAGGCCAGGCAAGCTAGGCATTGCACATCTACAAGGCACAGGAGAGACCCGCCCCAGGGTAGCAATATGTGGCTCAGAGTGTCCACAGAGCTGCTGCAGAGAAATCCTATCTAGCTGACATCCCCACTTCACAGGTGAAGAAACCGAGGCTTCGAGGGGTCCACTTAACTTGCCTCCTACAAGTAAACAGCAGGGAGTGGTGGAGCCCAGACTTCAACTCAGGCCTGCACTCAGGGAGCCCGCCTCTCAACCACTGCCCGCACTCTACAGAGAGGGCAAAGTGAGGCCCAGGGGCAGAGGGGTTTGCCCAAGGTCACAGAGCGCAGGAGCCCCGGCCCCCCGACTTTGCTCCCCTGTCCTCTCTCCGGAGGCCCCGGCGGGGAGGTCGCCCCGCGGACAGGTCCCAGGGGGAGGGTCACGCCGTCCGCCCCCCGCCCTGTCCCTCCAGCGGCCTGGCGGGCTCTGGCCTCCGGCGGGGCGCCTGAGGGCGGCAGGTCGCCGAGCAGGAGAGGGAGGAAGCGGGGAGAGAGGAGAGCGGGGTCCCGTTCCACGCGCTCCCCGCCCAGGTCCGGGCCCCCGCGTGGGGGTCGCCCCAGAAGTCGGAGGCAGGCGAAGGGGGCGCAAAGCCCCGGCCTGGGCGCGAGGGAGAGAAGCGCGACGCGACTCGGCTGGGAGCGCCCCCCGCCCCCGGCGCCCGGCCGCCACCCCGCCCTCCGCCCCCCCGACCCCTGACCCCTGCCCTCTCCGTCAGGCCGTCGCTCGCACCCCTCGGATTCTTACACGCACCGCCCCAGCAGCCCGGCCCGCGCGCCGCTCCGCCCCGCGCAGCTCAGCCCGCCGGCGCCGCCGCCAAAGCCCCGGCCCGGAGGAGCTGCAGCCGCCGAAGCCGCCGCCACTTCGGCCGCCGCCGCCGCCCGCGCAGCTGCGCCAGCTCGCCCGCCCGCCGCCCACAGCCCCCGCCGCCGCCCCGGCCAGGCCCGCCCCGCCGCGGCTATTGGCCGCCGGGCAGCCGTGCTGAGCTCTGATTGGACAGCGCTCACGTCCTTCCCGGCTTCTCGCCCGCTGCCGACGCGGGATTCCGGGCCTGCCTCCTCGGGAAGGGGCGGGGCGAGGAGGCCCCGCCCCCTCCCGCCGGGGCGCCGCGGGCCCGGCCATTGGCCGAGACGCGGGCGACGCGGCCTCCGACTGGCCGCGCCGGGGAGACGCGCGGGGAGAGCGCCGAGGCCCGGGGGCGGGAGGAGACCCAGGGCCCGCCTCTGAGCTTGGCGCGCACCTGGCAACGGAGACTCCGCCGAGGTAACTATGGACAGTAAAACCGGGACCCCCGGGAGCGGGTGAGTGACCCGCGGGGACGGGCCGGGGGCGGGGGGCGGGGGGCGGCGGCCGGCCCTCTCTGGCCTTCCCGAGCGGTCAGCGGCCGCGTCCCGGCCCCAGGGGACCCCCCTCCCCCCCCCCCCGGTCTGGCCTGTCTCCTTGTGCCCCCCTCAATCGCCTGCGAGAACCACTGGACGTCTTGGGGTGTCCCTGCCTCCACACTGACCGTCGTCACCATCTCCAGGATCCCACTTTGCTATCCTTAAAACGTGGGTCAAGTGGGGTCACATCAGGACCAACTGATTTCTCCTCGGTGGTGGGGGTGACTTTCTGAATCCTTCCACCTGGGGTGCATGCTGTGTTCCACGGGAGCATGCACTGAAAGGCACCCCACTTGTGCAGATTTTGTAGTTTTCATTACACCAATTTTTTTTTAAGATTTATTTATTTTTATAGAAGAATTGGGGTACAGGCCAGAGATGCAGGGGGTGAGAGGATTCACAAGAGACAGAGTGGGGAACAGAACAGGCAGACGGACTGAAGTACACTGCTGTGGGGAGCAGTGGGCGAGACAGGAGAGGTCTGTCCTGCCATGTGGGTTTCTCCCTGGCCCGCCGGGAATCGAACTCGCTGCAGAGGCTGTAGGTTGCTTCATAGGTTGCATCTTAACCCCTGCGCCACCAGGGAGGCCCCATTACAACAATGTTTTGTCTTACCTTTAGGACTTGATTGACATCCTTAAAATTTAATTTTGTTTATATACTGAAGATACAGGGTTCATTGTGAGACAAAGCAATGGAGTTGGCATGGAGCAACACAGTAAGTGCTCAGGAAAGCGTAGCATTTTTTCCTTACAGCACACTCCACCCACCACTCTTCTTGCTTCTAACAGCTCCCAGGGAGTTATCTTGTTCCAGACCTTAAATATTTATATGTTCAATGAGTATTTGCTGAGAACCTACTACCAGATAGTAGATAGGAGATAGAGCCTTCAATTAAAGAAACTTCATTTCTCCCCTAATGGAACTTAGGGTTGAATGTAGAAGATAGTCATTAACCAAGTAAAACACATAGAACATATGTAAAACATTAAATAGGCATACACACACAAACCCATATACACAAATATAAATGTAAAGTTAAACCTGTGGAGATTCGCTTCCAGAATGATGGACTGAGGAGTTCGACAAATCCTCACTTCAAAAAGCACATACTGGGCCTCCCTGGTGGTGCAGGGGTTAAGACGCAACCTATGAAGAAATCCACAGCCCACTGCAGCACAAGTTCGATTCCTGGCCGGCCAGGGAGAAACCCACATGGCAGGACAGACCTCTCCTGTCTTGCCCGCTGCTCCCCTCAACAGTGTACTTCGGTCCATCTGCCTGTTCTGTTCCCCACTCTGTCTCTGGTGGGTCCTCTCACCCCCTGCATCTCTGGCCTGTACCCCAATTCTTGTATAAAAATAAATAAATCTTTAAAAAAAAAAAAGCAATTACTGTCCATTGCTGATGAGAAACATAACATATACAGACAGGAGAATATTTCAGTCTTAACGGGGAACAAACTTCTGATACATGATACAACGTAGATGGACCTTCAAGACATAATGCTAAGTGAAATAAGCCAGACGCAATGGACAAATATTATATAATTCCACTTTTATAATGTATCTAGAATAGTCAGATTCACAGACAAATCAGAATAGTGTTTACCAGGAGCCTCTGGGAGGAGAGAAAAGGGAGTTATTATTTAATAGGTCCAGAGTGTCCCTTCGGATGATGAAAAAATTTTGGAGGTGGTTCAGTGTAATTTTTTTTTTTTAAGATTTATTTATTCATGCATACAAGAACCGGGGTACAGGCCAGATGCGCGGGAGGGTAAGAGGATTCACCAGAGAGGGAGCAGGGAGCAGAACAGGCAGAAGGGCCAAAATACACTGCTGAGGGAAGCAGTGGGCACACAGGAGAGGTCTGTGGCGCCATGTGGGAATCTCCCTGGCCGGCTGGGATCAAACCCACACTGCAGAGGCTGCAGACAGCTTCACAGTGCTGTGTTTAACTGCCTGCACCGCCAGGAAATTACACTTACAAAGGATCACAATACTAAACTTTATGTAACCAATATTTTACCACAACCAAAAAAGCAACTATAAAACCAGAGAACATTGTCTAGGCTAATGAAGCTTGACTAGAGGAACGCAACAAAATGAACATTTACTGGTGAAAACTACTGTGTTTGGAGGTGCGGGGGTATTTACCAGGGCTTCTCCGGTTCCACTCCCCCGTTTCTATGGCATGAATTCCATCAGGCCCGGAAGCCCATGAAAACCATAGCTTCACTGTCTCTGGCTGATGGCGCTCACTTGCTTTGGAGGATTGTTGGCAAAAGCGTGATCTTGGTGGCAAGAGAATGGGAGGAGACAGCAACTCCAGTCGGCCGGGGTTACAGCCCTCTTTGGGGGACAACAACTGATGAGCAGCTTAGAATTCTGGGAAGTGAGACAGCCACAGGCCCTTGGTACGTGCTCTGAGGGTCTGTGTAGACAAGCAGAGAAGGCTGTGTACACAAGCAGAGAAGACACAGAAGACACAGCATTATGCTAACTCGGGGTTTCTCAATAGTGGCACTATTGGCATTTGGGCTGAATAATTCTTTGTGGTGGTCATGGGGTGGGGGAGCCCAGTGCACCCTATGATGTTTCTTTGGCATCATCCCCAGCCTCAACCCACCAGGTGCTCCCACCAGGAGCACTCTCCCCCGTTGTGACAACCAGCTCTCTCTCCAAATTATTATCAGAGGTCTCTGGTGGGCAGAGTCAGCCCAGGTTGAATCCACATCTATGATTTCATTTCTAGGAAATCTCCAGAAAAGTTAAATGTGGTAAGAACAGAAATATTTTTACAAGTAACTCTCGGGAATTTAGGGGAACGGTTGAAAATTTGGGGGTGATGTGGCATATTTTTGGACATTTACAAAAGGTCATTGGCTTGTACACTTTTAGTTGGTGAATTTTATGGTGTAAATTACACTTCAGTAGACCTGTGTGTGTTGGAGGGGAGGGGGGTTTGGAGAATTACACCTGCTATGAGTACCAAACTTTGGGCTGAGATTTGAAGGATGCCAAATTGCTAATCCAGGCATTGGGAGTTGGTTTTCTGCTGAAAGGAACATTGTGGGTCAAGATCCCTCTATTCTGAGCCTTTCCAGAAGGTCAGTGTGTTTGCAGCCCAGAGAATGAGGGCAGGGGTGGGGGCTCTGAGATACAGAGGCAGGACAGGTGGGTGGAAGCCAATGAGAAGGAATCTTCTCACAACAGTGAGGATGCAGCCGCCCCACCATCACCGTGGCATTAGGCACCTGCCGTGTAGTGACAGCTCTCATCGGTCTGTGTCTCCTTTCTCAGGCTTTGCTGACGTCTACTCCAGCCTCTCCTGCTCATCGTCCTCACAGATGTCCCGCCCAGGCAGCTGCTCATCTCCCTAGGTGCCTTGGTGGGAATTAGGAAGGGGCACCCTCTCTGGGCACACCCAGCCCCATAGTTTCAAGCTTGGCAAATGGGGAGCATCAGCAAACACCTCTCAACTCCCAATTTTCTTCCGGTCTTCACCCCTCAACAGCCCAGCTGACAGCCCCATTGGAACACTGAGCACATCCCTGGCTCCTCCCTCTCTTTCATCCCCAAACCCAGTCCCTCACCTCATCCCACTGATTCCGCCCACTCCTTGCCCTGTCCCTAGTTGAGTCCATCTCGTCGCTTCCCAGAGCCACTGGGACAGTCATCCAAACCTAACCCTCTCGTCATCTTGCACCTTCTAGCCCTTCCACACAATGCCCCGGGCTGCAGGTCACTCCCTGCTTAAAACATCTTCTGAGCCTCTTGAGCAACCAGGGAAGCTGTCATGGCAGAATTTTCTTCTTTTTTTTAAAGATTTATTTTATTTATTTATGCATAAAAGAACTGGGGTGTAGGCCAGAGGTGCAGGATGGGGAGGAGGCGGTGAGAGAATTTACCAGAGGATTCACCAGAGTGGGGAGCAAAACAGGCAGATCTACTGAAATACTCTGCTGAGGGGAGCAGTGGGGAGACAGGAGAGGTCTGCTGCGCCATGTGGGTCAGCTCCCTGGCTGGGGATTGAACTTGTGCTACAGTGACTGCGGATAGCTTCATAGTGCTGAGACTTAACCCCTGTGCCACCAGGGAGGCCCTTTGGCAGAATTTTCTAACCAGTTGAATCAAGGTAACATCCAACCCCAGTAGAATGATTGAGAGGAAAGGAGACTAGAAACTGGATAACCGAGCCAAGCCAGAGTGGAACAGGGTGAGTCCTGAGGTCACTGCTCATGCCTTGTCTGAATATTACAATGTTGGGAGTAAACAGCAAGAGTCTAATCCGCGTTCCCTTTCCGAGACGTCACCCTCCACCCAGAAAGCCCCAGACAGCCTTTTCAATGGGAGCAGCAGTGACAAAGTCTGCAGTCTCAGCCCCATGCTCCCTGCCTCTGGGCTGGGCAGGCCCTGGCATCCCTTCGGAACGCATTCCGGGCATAGATGGTCGGACAGAAATGCCGTGGTTTGAGCTTGTGGTTTTCACTTGATTGACAGTGAAAAGTTAAAGGGGTGAGTGTCCCCTGCCTGCTCAATTGCTAAATTCCTCCCACGCTTCCCTTTTCTCTAGGTGAGAAGAGTTCAGGCTGATGTCGCTGATGTACCCCCTGATCAAGCCTTCAACGTATAATCACTCACCTTTGAAGAGGGCTTTTAACTCTCCAAAGATCTGTCCTGTCTATTAACTCATCCCTGCACCACCCAGTTCCCTGTTGATGTGGCTAGAACAGGTGTATCCCAGATGCCAGAGAGATAAGGGACATGCCCAGACTCATTCCAAGAGCCCCTGGCAGGGCAGCACCCTGCGCCCCAATCTCCTGAAAGGACTTAGGCATCTGATGTTGATTCTGTAACTGATGGGAGCTTTAGAGGGCACAGACGCCAGCTCATCAGGTAGAACTGGGCTGGACTGGGGCTGGTCTTGCTTTAAACCTGGATGGACACTGGTGGTGGGAGCAAGGCCATTGTGGTTTAGACCAGTGGTTCTCCACCAGGGCCATCCCCACCCTCCACCCTGCAGGGACAGTTGGTAATCCAGGGACATTTTGTCTCCAGCTGATCAGAACTGGTGGGGGTGTGAACAGATGTTATTCATCCATGTGCTACTGGCAATATCTTAAAGCCACAGGACAGCTGCCCTGCAGAGAGTTATCTGGCCAGAATGTTTATAGTGCGAAGATTCAGAAACCTTGTTCTAGAATGATGTTTTTATATAAGGCAGTTGCCCTACACACACACACACACACACACACACACGACAGGTGATGCAGGGGTTAGGTCTCAGCACGATCAAGCTATCAGCAGCCACTGTGACATGAGTTCAATCCCTGGCCGGGGAAGTGACCCACATGGCGCAGCAGACCTCTCCTGTCTCGCCCGCTGCTCCCCTCAGCAGTGTATTTCAGTAGATCTGCCTGTTCTGTTCCCCACTCTGTCTCTGGTGAATCCTCTCACCCCCCCCCACACCTCTCCGGCCTACACCCCAGCTTTTGTATGCATAAATAAGTAAAACAAATCTTTAAAAAAAAAAAAAACATCTTTTGAAATACGGTGCATCAGAGAAGGGCTGCCTTTGCTCTTCGTCACCAATAACAGCAGCAGGTTCCAGCCACACCCAACCAGGTGCCTCTAACATGGGGCTTTGAATAATGGGAATTTTTTTTAAACCACAAATCAGACAAGAAATGCATCTCCCTTCTCACCCCAGCACACATTTAACCCAAATGAACTTATTCCATGCTGCCATCGGCACCAGCGCCCCCTCGCACACGCTACATCTTTTCCAGGTAAATTGATTTCACTCACTAAAGGGTCAAGCCTTGGGTTTTAAGAAGATAGTTTTGCATTGGATAAGATTCTGATCGAAATATTTCTTTTTAAGTGGGGGGAGTTTATTTTAGAAAAAAATGTACATTCACTATGAGGAAATCCTTCTGCTGAAAACAACCGAAGTGATACTCCCCATGGTTGTATATTTCCATCGTTGTATATAACCAGAAATAAATATTTATCAAGTTATACTGTAACCAAAAGATAATTAAAAATCACAGTGAATTCATTTGTAAAGAGGAAGTAGCTCAAAAGTGGTGAGTGGTTTCAGGGACCACTATTTTTTTTTTTAAAGATTTATTTATTTATTGGCCTCCCCGGTGGCGCAGTGGCTGAGCGCTGGGTTGCAAAGCTGCCCACAGCCTCTGCAGCGCCAGTTTGATACCCAGCTGCCGGGCAAGGGTCCCACATGGCGCTCAGACCTCCTGCCGCCCGCTGCTCCCCTCAGCAGTGTACTTCATCAGTCTGCCTGTTCTGATCCCCGCTCTGGCTCTGGTGGATTCTCTCACCCTCCCGCACTTCTGACTGTACCCAGTGCTTGTATAAATAATAAATAAAGAAAGAAAGAAAGATTTATTTATTTATGCGTACAAGAGCTGGGGTGTAGGCCAGAGGAAGGTGGGTGGGACGGAGGTGACGGGGCAGGGTGGGGGTGAGAGGATTCACCAGAGACAGAGTGGAGAGCAGAACAGGCAGACCCACCAAAGTACACTGTTGAGGGGAGTAGTGGGCGAGACAGGAGAGGTCTGCTGTGCCATGTGGGTCACCTCCCTGGTCAGGGATTGAACTTGTGCTGCGGTAGCTGCGGATAGCTTCATAGTGCCACGTCTTAACCCCTTGCACCACCAGGAAGGACCCTCAGGGACCACTATTATCCTCCATCCCTAACAGAATAACATGAGTAGTATAGAAACCAGCAAAATTAAAAACAAATAGTAAAAAGTGGATCCATTTTGGCTCTTTATAAATCCTTTAACACAAAACTGTGGATATTATGTTGAGAAAAATTCATCTTCTATTTTATGCATCTGAGTGTTGGTTGTTTTTAAATTACCTTTGAAGTCGTAAGAAAAACCAGACATCGTTGAGTCAGGACCTCATTTCACACTCACAGCTGTCCTGCCGAGTATGGGTCACTGTCCCCCTTTTACGGACGAGGAAGTCAAAGCTTAGAGAGTTGATTGACTTGCAGAAACACACATCAAGGAAGCCATGATCCTCAGGCTTGAATTCCGAATGTGTCTGACTCCAGAACCCACAAACGTAATCACTGTGCAAGAGGCTCATTTCCACTTCAGAGATGAGGACCCATAAGGTCAGGTGAATTTTCTCAGGGCCATGGCTGAGGCCAGGGGCTGGTAGACAGTTGTTCATTATGACCAGCAGCTTGGCAGTCTGTCCCCAGAAGCACATTCTCTCCTAAACTCAGTCACTCTTCAGTGTCCTCTGTCTCCAAAGCACAGGATAACATGGAAACCGCGGCCCGAGCCGGCATCACAGTTGAGTTCCCGGCTATTAATACCTCCAGCGATTGCTGTTGTAGTCTCTGCCTGGAACTCTTTTGCCGACTAAATACAATTAAAACTTGTCTTCAAAAAAGGACGAGAGTATTGAGTAATGGTTCAAAAGGGGTGGTAGAAAAAAAAACAACTAAAACCTAAAAGAGAAAAACCAAATTAGATTAGATTTAAATCTTTTAAAATTCCAAGCCTGGAGACAAGGGTGGGGAACAACCTAGAAACGAAATCTTGACCCACAATTTCATTATTAAACGGAGCTTTTTTCCGGTCCTAATTCAGGACATAACATCATTTGTGTTATTACATTATCCTATTGTACTGGATCGCCCTGGGAGGAAATGGGCCTATTGGTAAATCGGGAGGGGGGCAGGGGGAGGGCGTCTCTTCCTTTAGTCAACAGCGATCTGCTGCGGACTTTCTGTGTGCTGGTTGCTGGGGTGGCAGACTTCATAGGATATTTTCTGTCCCTTCCCAGTCTCCTGCTTTCCACTCCGGAGAAAGTTAGATGTGCAGTTGCAGACCAGAGGGAGCTTCCTGGGGCTGAAAGGGAAATGCCTAGTGCTTCAAAGGCAAAACCTCGCCTGTTAACCCACCTATTAAGTGGGAGGTGGAATTGGAACTCAGCAACCAGGCACCCCACACCCCTCAAGGACTTCTTTGTGTCCTAAGAAGAACACGGGGAAGGATGAGGCCGGAGCCCTGAGATCCCAGGAGTGTGGGAGGCAGGAATTTTACCTCTTGGAAACAGAACAGAATGGTCAAAAGCACATGAAATCAGCCGTGCAAGTTGTGAAATCCACCACCTGGTTTTATTCAATCTGTAATCAACTAGAAATTGCCATTTTTTTAGGGTGGAAAACAAAACCAGCCATCAGGAGCTCCGTCCTTGTGAACCTTCTCTCTGCTATCTTAATCCACAACCTTATTTCCCAGCCTAAACTCTTCTTCATTCTCTCATAGCCAGGCTGAAGCAGTCTTTTTTGGTCAAGTCTAGGAAGTACCAATGATGGAGCTAGGGAGGCACAGAACCTCAGTTGCAGCTAAGAATCAGAAAGATCTAAATTGTCTCGGGAAATATGTGCTATGAATTTTCAAGGGAAGATGGGCAGTAAGGGAGGGAGGGCATTTCGTTGGCTCAGTGGTGGCTGGTTGGGATGAGAAATGCACACAGGACTCTAATGTTACTGACATTGATTCCCCGTTTCATTGAAATCTATGCTGAAGACCCTTTGCAGGTTTTTCCTAATTACATCAATGAGAAAACCTCAGTTTGGTGTTACTAAGTATAATATTGATTTTCTATTCTACAACTTTGGTATAATTGTTGATTAATTCCAGAAGTGTTTTTGTTGATTCTCATGGGATTTACCTACATAAACAATCATGTCATCTGTGAACAAAGAGTTTTATTTCTTTCTTAGGATCTGTTCTGTATATCTTCTTTTTCTTGTCTTATTGCATTAGCTAGGACTTCCTGTTGAACAGGAGTGGTGACAGGGAACATCTTGGCCTTCCCAATCTCAGGGGTGATAGTAGATTTTTTGTAGATGTTCTTTATCAAGTTAAGGAAGTTCCACTCTATTCCTAGTTTGCTGAAGCCTTTTTTTTAAATTATTTTTATTTATCTATGCATACAAGAACTGGGGTATAGGCCAGAGATGCAGGAGATGAAAGGATTCACCAGAGACAAAGTGGGAAGCAGTACAGGCAGAGCCATTGAAATACACTGCTGAGAGGAGCAGCAGATGAGACAGGAGAGGTCTGTTGTGCCATGTAGGTTGTCTCCCTGGCTGGGGATTGAAATCATGCCACAGTGGCTGGTGATAGCTTGATAGTGCTGAGATTTTAACCCCTGTGCCACCAGGGAGGCCCACCAAAGGTGTTTTTGTTTGTTTGCTTGGTGTTGGATTTTGTCAAATACTTCTCCTTCATCTATTGATGTGATCATAATTTTTTTCTTGTTGATATGCTAGACTACATTAATAGAGTTTTGAATGTTTAACCAGTCCTGTGGAGCTGGGATACATCCCACTTGATCATGATGTGTATTTCTTTTTATACATTATTGGATTTAATTCCTGACTATTTGTAGAGGATTTTTGCATAAGTTCTTCTGGTTTTCCTTTCTTGTAATGTCTTTGACAATTTGATAATAGAGTAATGCTAAACTCACAGAGCCAGTTAGGAAGAATTCCTTTTAATTCTGGCCCCTTGAAGAAATTGTAGAGAATTGGTATAATTTATTCCTTAAATGTTTGGTAGAAATCACCAGTGAAATCATCTAGCCCTTTCTGTTTTGGAAGATTATTAACATTAATTAGATTTATTTAATAGGTATATGTCCATTCAGGTTATCTATGATTTTGCCTAGATTATGTCCTTCAAAGAATTGGTCCATTTCATCAGGTTATCAACTTTGTGGCCATGGTATTGTCCGTCATATTCCCTTATTATCATTTCAACAACCAGAAACTTCGTAAAGATGGTCTCTCAGTCCTTCCTGATGTTAATAATTTGTCTCTTCTCTCTTTTTGTTAGTATATCTTTAGCATCTCCCTACCATTTGCTAATCTTGCTTTTTAACTACAGAGATCTACTCTCAGGCTCATTTTTTCTGGGTAATAGTATCTAGCTAGAGCGAAGTAATGTCAATATGCAGACATCATTACTTCTATTTGAGGAAAGTAATACAGACTCTCGGTTATAGTGGGGATGTAAAATTTCCTTTTTAATTAGAAGTGCTTAAGAATGAAAGTATAGAGGCAAGACAAAAAGTGAGTTGATAATAGTACAGCTTAGTCTATAGATTTGGCAGAAATCACAAACTCTGAGATGTGGACCAGGAGGAATTAGAGTGACCGCTGATGAGGGCCTGGACTCCACCCAGCAGCCCAGCTTCATGAAGTGCAGCCTCCTGCAGCACAGTGGTCCCCACATCGTGATCAGCAACGAGATGTGTCTTGGTAATTTGTTGATAATGAACCCCAAAGCTTGTGACTGATATAAACATTATCCCCGGCCCGCCAGGGAGGGAGGTGACCCAAGTGGCTCAGCAGACCTCTCCTGTCTCACCTGCTGCTCCCCTCAGCAGTGTGTTTCAGTCTGCCTGTTCTGCTCCCCACTCTGTCTCTGGTAACTCCTCTCACCCCCTGCACATCTGGCCTATACCCCAGTTCTTGTATGCATAAATAAATAAATCTTTAAAATATATATATATATATATATATATATAAATCAATGACAGATTATTCAAAGCTTACTGTAAAAAAATTTAATCATCCACACTCCCGGGGATTTTTGAGAAGCTTTATTTAAGAGAGGAGAAAGGGGTGGGACATCAGCTCGCTTGGTGCATCCATGCCTAATCCTGGGCATAACAGGGAACAGCAGGAAACCCATGTGGCAGTGGAAAGAAAGGGGGATCAGGGCTAGTTCAC